AGAACAAGAAGACGTACATCTTCGCTGGAGACAAATTCTGGAGGTAGGAGAGGGTGGTACATAGGACAGCAGCACGGCTGGCTGCCTGGAGGTGCAGAAGACACACTGAGGCGTCATTGTGCCTCCTGGGTCAAGTTCAGAGGTTGGTGGGCCACAGATGCCTACTCTCTGGTCTCTAAGCTATCAGGGCTGCAGCCCCACTGATAAAATCTGGGTCAGAATCTCCTTTCTCTTTTCAGAAGTCTTTTGCTTGGGCCTGTGTCTGGTCTGGACCCTCACATTTGGGGGTAACTCACTAAAGAAGGGGTAATTAAAATAAAGAGAATAGCTGCTACTACTGACACTATGTGCCAGACACTATCCCAAGGGCTCTGTGAGGTGGGTGTTATTATTATCCTCATTTTACACATGAGGAAACTTGGGTTCAGCAAGGTTAAGTAACTAGCTTAAGGTCACACAGCCAGCAGCCAGGTAGTGACAGGTTGGGGTTCGTTTTTTTTTTTTTTTTTTGAGAGAGGGTCACACCGTATCACCCTGGGCTAGAGTGCAGTGGCATCATCCTAGCTTATTGCAGCCTAAAACTCCTGCGCTCAAGCGATCCTCCTGCCTCAGCCTCCCAAGTAGCTAGGACTATAGGCATGCGCCACCATGCCCGGCTAATTTTTTTCTATTTTTTGTGGAGATGGGGCCTTGCTCTTGCTCAGGCTGGTGTCGAACTCCTGACCTCAAGTGATCCTCCCGCCTCCGCCTCCCAGAGTGTTAGGATTAGAGGCATGAGCCACTGCTCCCAGAGACAGATTGGGATTTGAATCCTGGCATTCTGCCCCCCCCCACCCCCGAGAACATACTAGTCCTCACTATACTATACTATACTGTACCCAGGGCAGTGGGGTTCCAAGAGATGGGGGTGGTAGAAGCAGGGATGGGAGAGAGCACAATATGAAGAGGCCTGAGACATGGAGGACCCCGCCATTCACAGGAGCCATCATCCAAATCAAGCCCCTTGGAAGCAGCGGGTGCCCTCTGGCATGCCCACAATAGGCCCAGGGGCTGCGGGCACAGACTGGCAGGGGAGCAGTGGGGAAGCAGGTAGTTCTCTGCTCCAGGTCGTGTGCAGGGAAGGGTCCAGTTCCGAGAGGCCATGGTCAAGGCTAAGGGGCCAAGGAGTCCAATATCCAGGAATGCTCGGTGAGAGGCAGCTTAAACCTCAGAATTTTGATTATAGTTCTTCACACTTTCCGGATAGGGAAACTGAGGTCCAAAGACATTAACTAACTTGTCCACATTATTTATATATAAGTGTGTTGGCACAGAACCAGGATTATAGCTGCTTCTCCTGTCTTCTAACCCAGTCCCCCTCCACTATGTCCTTTGGGTCATTTGGTCAAGGGGGTGGGCACAGGGGCTTTCAAAGTGTCTTTCCACCCCCCCCTTCCTAGTGTCCCCACACTCATTCTGTGGCTGCCACTGCATTGGGGCCCACGCAGGAACTACTCGGAGGGCGCTCCCTGAGCCCTCTGTCCCCCATCCCTAAGCAATCACGCTTCCTTCCCAAGGCCTCTCTCTTCTCCTCCTTGCCCCCTCGCCACCCCCTCCCCAGCTGCCCTGCATTCAGAAGCTGTCTGTATCCCAGGCCTGCCCCCGTCCGGGTGGAATTCCAGACATATTGCTAAGACACTTAGCAGCCTAAGCTGATTGATATCTCAAGCCTCAAGAAAGAAAACAGTGAGGCAGGAAACCGCGGAGTGGGCTTTCTACCCGCAGGCCCGGAACACTCCCAGGCGTGAGCACGTACTGCGAATGGCATCTCAGTGTCGCAGGCGCTTCCGAATCTCCGAGTCTCAGAACTGTGGACAGTGGGAGGCGCAGGTCACGGACACATGAATCTCAGAATCCTGAAGCCCTGGCATCTCCGAATCGTGGTGTTGGAAGGACTTTATATTCACTCTCCCGTACACTCTGTGTGTGTAAACACACAAGAACAGACGTGTCCACGCGTGAACACGACACACCCACACTGACGTGCAGGCTGTGGGAAAAACCCCTGAGGGCTTTTCAGGCAGACTTATCTGCCTCCCGATCCTTTTCCACAACAAGCTCGCCTCCCAAAGCCAGGAACAGGATGGACAGCCTGCTCTGCAGAGAAACCTTCCTGGGACTTCCCTAAAACGGGCAGAGCTGCAGGGCCAATCCGAGGCTCTGGGCTGGGCTTCCAAAGGAGACGGATCTCTCTCCCAGGAGAGGTGTTTAATGAGCCTGTGACCCTGGCCCTGGTGTGTGGTCTGCAGCGGCCCCAGAGGCCTCCTTGCTGGAGAAGGGGAGAGAGCCCCAGAGGACAGAGGGTGAGCAGCTGCCTCCAGCGTGCCAGGGGAGTGCTTAGTCCCTGCTTTGAGAAGCTTCCACGAAACCCACAAATACCCATTCGACATCTCCTATGTGCCGGACACTTAGCTCGGTGCTGGGAAGACAGTGGTCAAGACATAATCCCTCCATGCCCTCATGGAGCTTACTGGAGAGCGAGGGAAAGAAACGTAAATACATCAGAATCAAATAATAGTTGCTCTCTGTACGGGAACGGTAGCACAGCCCAGGCCTGAGGCTGTGCACGTCACCTGTGCTCCTCACTTACGGTGTCATTAGCCCCTTCGACCAGGTGTGGAAACTGAGTCTGAAGTGGCTCAAGGATACACATACGGAAAAGCTGGGACACTTTCTACGTCTCCGTTTTTGACACCTGCTGTTCACTGCAACCCCTGCAGCTGCAGAGGAGAAGTTCCAGAGTGTCACAGAGAACTTCTCCAAACAGTGTGCCCGTGAGCGGGAAGCACTGCTCAAAGAGATTATGGGGACAGAGAGGAAAGTGAAGAGATACGGTCCCCTTCAGAACAAACATCTGGCGCTGTGGTGCTTGTATTCTTCTGGATGAAAAGAACTTGGAAGCAAAATAGCTCATTTCTCTCAGCCTCAGTGTCCTCGTCTGTACAATGGGGCTGATTCTTGCCCTCCCACCTTCTGTGGGTAGAAAGAGAAAGAAATATGGGCAAGTTCAAGTTTGGGACACATTTTGGAGCCACCATAACCCCAGGGAATGTAGTTTGAGGGGCGAGTGGAGGTGACGTGGGTGGGAATATCGGGATTTCGAGCCAGGGACCGTGGTGCCCTGGGTCGCGAGGGGGCACGGCAGGTTGTGTAAGAAGCAGTCTGATGATGCAGCTGGGATTAAGGGAGGCTTTTCTGGCAGTTTCCACATGATGGCCGAAGGAGAAGACCCCTGCAGAAGGGAGCCTACGGGGGCAGCTGTGGTTATCCAGGGTGGGCTGGTGAGGCTGCGTGGGGAAGGAGAGAGCCCCCCAGGAGGCAGCGCAGAGGAAAGCCTGGCTTTCACCAGGACGGGATTCAAACAGATCTGTCTAGAAAATCAGGGCCATGACGCCGAGACTTGATCTTGTTTACTGAGATATCCACACGCACATAGTGGGAGGCCATTAAATATTTATAGAATAATGAAGTGGGAAGCAAAGGAAGCAAAATGTTTTAGCATTTAAAAAGTTCTCCAGAAAATTTTAAAAGACAGAGGTGCTGCTGGCCGGGGGGGAAGAACATGCCAACTAATGCCCAA